GGAACGATCTAAGATACCATGTTAAGAGGAATAGCAACTTAATCTATGTATAAACTAGGAATCTGAAAATACAGAAGGAAATACGTGGGACCTAGTACAAATACAAATATCTTTCTAACAGTGGAAACTAGAAACTTCCTCGTCCCTCTAAAGATATTTAAAGTTGTTTGGTTTGAGACTAACTTTGCCAAAGATGAGGCAAGTTTAACTAATTTAGGTGTGTTTTGTTCAGGCCATACCTTAGGTAAGATGCTTTTTGCCACACCAGGGCCCCACATCATATACACTTAGTGTGGCAAGATTCCCTAAGGCTTGCCAACTACTTGTGGCTCCAATTTTACTGAACTAACCTTGGGATAGTTTGAGAAGAAATGTGTGGCAAAGTGTGGCATTGCCAGGCCTAGAAACAAACAGCCCCTAAGCAAGGTTGTCAGAACCGTGATTTTTCAGAATCGGATCGGAGCTCCAATGGTCAAAGTTCAAAAAAGCGCTAGGCGTTAATTATGCGTTTGGCCACCTACTTGCGCATTTCTAGCTTAGGCGTGATTAGGCGCAATTAGGCGTTTCATACATAATTGTACAGATACGGGCAACGCAGAGCACTTTGCTATCTAAAATAGTGCTAGAATGTAAACTAGAACGGCAAGCAAAGAGCAGAAGCATTTAGCAGTTTAGCACTATCGTAGAGGCAGTAACAACAGCTAGTAGAGCACAAAACTTCACACAACAGTAGCAAAACAGGACTTCGACAGTACCAAAATAGCACTATAGCAGTAGTACTAGTTACATCTAGAGCATCAACAGCAACACTATATCAATAGTAAAAGCTATATCTGCAGTATCAACAGGAGCAGCAACACTACAACAGTGATACTGACTTTTCCTAGGGCGGCAGCAGCATCACTATAGCAGTGCCTAGCGGCTAGCGCTTTCCCTGGTGCATATGGGCAAAGCGAGGCGTTGAGCCAGCGCCTTGCGCATAGGCGCGCATATGCTCTTGATTAGGCGCGCTTTTTGAACAGTGCCAATGGTAGGATCGCAAATCGCAGAATCTTAACTATCAGAATCGTAAAGACATAGATTCTACTAACCAAGATCGTAGAATCAGAGTGGTTAGGTTGGATTGTAAAGTCGTAGAATCATACAATAGAATCGCGAATCTGACAACCTTGCCCTAAGGCTTTATATACAACTCGTTAATGTTTCATGCTGTGTCAACATAATTTCTGGATAAGAACATACCTCAACAAGCTTATCCACCTTTGTGAAATGTCGACCAAAAGAACTGTAGCGTGACCCATAAATGAAAGGTGAAATATATACTCTGAGCCTAGTCTGGAACGAGAAAAACAATCTAAAGTTAGAAATCGATTGACCACCATAACATTGCAAGGCAAATTGTTCCACCCAACATCACAGTACGCTCAGGAAATAAATGGCTCATTCCCGCCAACAACAATTTCAGGAGAAACACTATGAAGACAGGGTAAAAGTGCCATTGCGACTTTTATAGATCATGAGAAGATTGACATCTTTTTACTATAACCAATAATGGGTTAACTCAAGTGTTGGAACTGAGGGGACTAAAACAAAGTATACTGACTTCAGAGGATAACACCAAAACAATATTATAACGGCATTAACAAAAACTATCAAAGTACCACTTGAAGCATAATTATGAATAGATACATCATAATTATCAAAGTATACTGACAGTGAATCTTCTTCGCGCACGGAAAGAGCGTGCCATAAATCTCATAGGAATGATATATTTATGCAAGTTTCTACAAAAACAACAGTATACGAAAAGATGAATATATGATTAGAATATACATACATGCCACTTTGTTAGCTGCTTCAAAACTTGAGGTTCACATACTGCTTTCGCCTCATTAACATTACCTCCATTACCCAGCGCTTTTAGAGCTGCTCCTACAGCCTAAAAAGCACATCATTCAGAAAATGCTGAACAAATAATAACTAGTATGAAAAGTTGCATTTCCTGCTGGAAATACTGAACAGTGAATGGACCTGAACAGAACGCTCAAGCTTGCCCGTCGCAACAATCTTATCAGTTTGCCTGCCAGCGTATACATGAGTGGATGGCACAAGGCACCTGCTTGATATATCTTTTAGTGTCAAGGAAGAGCCTTCTTTCTCTACCAAAGCAATTACCCTGCAAGTAAGATTGAGAACATATCAGGTAGTACCATGACTCCATGAGGACTCTAAAGTCTAAAATGTAAATAATGTTTGATCAACTTATACTTTGCACGTCCGTGTCAATAAAACTGAACGAAAAAGGCTAAACACAGGACGCAAGAAGAAAACTGTAGCAAGATAAACAAGCTTTTAGGCCCTGGTCGGGTCCAGGAGAACTACATTTCCGTGTATGTTTGGTTTTAGAGTCAGGCATTCTGGTAAGTTTCCTTAGTGTTTTGCATGAGCCCAAGTTTACCTTACCAAAGATTTGGCTAGCCAAAAACTTTGGCCAAGGTTTTTCTTGCCTATGGCTTGGCCAATATTACCAAAAGAAACTGCACGAAAGTAGAAGTGGGCACGCCAGAAAATTCCAACCATGCAAAACAAAGGCCATCTTTTTGGTCATTGACAAAAAATATGTAGGGCACATTTTGGACACAAACCAAGCATACACTTAGTACGTAGTACAATTAGCACATGGACATGTATGTGTGTGTAGTGACTGGAGTCCTCAAATAATTATATCAAGTGACTAACCTCTTCTCTGTTTCACTGTCCACCCTAGGAAATGAACTCTGGGGCAAGTTCCCCATAGTAGATGGTGAAGTCGCCAAGTATTTTTCCTGCTCATTTGCAGGTCTTGAACTGCTTGCAGAAGTACCTTTGACCTTTAGTTTTTTCTTCTCAGGCTTGTCAACAAATTGCTCTGATGAACTCTTCACAGCAAATTTTCTGGCGTGTTCATCTTCTTGCACCCGAACCTTGACTGGCACCTTTGCAGCTTTATTTGAAGGTTGTTCAAGAAATGATTCATCAAAATCTCTCTTTCTCCTGTTAATCAACACCTTGTTTTTTCTCTTTAGGTAATCTGCTGGTTTTACAATTTTTGGAATACCCGGAAACTTTATATGATTTCTGACAGGTGTCTCAATGTCACTATCTATCTCATGGTCCCTGAACAGTTTATGACAAGTCAGTATATGAACAATGTAGACAGCATTTAACAAATATAAGTGAAGAAGTTACTACATACAAGCAATAGATCAAAATTCTTTTTGAAAGGTCCCAGGCTCGTGTAACAATGTCCTCGTCGCTATCTTCAAAGGGTATTTCTCTGAAATATCTCGAGTATGATAAGAACAGAAGAGACCATATATGGATTAAGAAATTTAAAAAGAGAATGGCAGCAGCACCTCGGCAAACATTTTCTATGATATGACTTTGGACAGCGTCTGCAAACAGCAAACTGCAATTGTTCTTGTGATCTATCCTCCAAGCCTTTACAGTGAAAACACCAATGAATGGGGCACGTAAATGAAGATCCACCTATTATCTTGTTCTCTTTTTCTAAGGCTTCAATCTTGTTGTTAGGATGAAGTTTTCTTGCAACACATTTGGGGTGGTAAAAGTACCCACATGTAGCATTGTTACAAAGAAACACCTAAAGAATGATATCATAATTAGCAAAACTACATAACTATAAAGCACTGAATAAAATATGATTCACATTGATACTTAAGTACTACCTCCGTCCGGGTTTATTGGGCCCCTTTGTATTTTGGGCTAGACTTTGACCATCTATAGACTACTAAAATATAAAGTATAATGCTATAAAAAATTATACTGTTGGATTTGTATTTGAAAGAGCTTTCCGACAAAAAAAAATTGTGACGATATAGTTTACATTTTGTTAGTTAAATTTATAGGTCAAACTTTAACCTAAAATAAGAGGGGGCCTAATAAATCCGGACGGAGGGAGTAGATGCACTTTCTAACAGCTAGAACAATGCAATTACTCCATTCATAGCGCTGAAATACGGTCATAGTAACAATTTAAATACCTAATCGTTAGTTATTGGCTTATTGCAATAGCCAAAATTTACAGATAAAATGGTATTAAATGCCCCTACTACATAACTGCTAGAACAAAACTATTTCATAACATTCAGAATGTCTACTTTATGAAATGTCAACTAGATGCTCTTTCATAGTACTACTTCTAGTTCTGTATTCCTAGGTAATGCTGGCTGTATAGTGGTTGAAAGCCTAAAACTGCAAATAACGATTGCAGCTTTTAAGCCAAGTAACAGCACGATTAATGCATAATAAGTAATTAAGCGTTGCCGATCAGCACCGAAAATCACTTTATTGTTAATGAACAATGAAACCAGAGTGAAAAAGCTAAAACAATGACAATGTACCTTAGCAGTTGGTCCATCCGAAGGCTCTAATACTCCACAAATAAAACACTGGTGTTGCTTATACTCACAGTTCTTGCACAGGAAAGTTTTCATTGCCTAAAACATATTGAAAGAGAAAACTCAATAAAAAAACAGAAGTTTGAATTTCATGCTATCTTTACCACTCAGAATTTCAAAAGCTACCTCAACTTCTGCCTCAGTGAACCCAAGGGTATCACAATAGGAGTCCTCGCCGGTTCCTATTTTGGCATGGAAGGACCTCATACATGGGCCATCACACCTATAATAGAATAATACAGCAAACAGAATACAGAGAAGTATTAGAATATTGGCACAAAATGAATACTCACAGATGACCATAGAAACTTTTACACGACAGTGATGAAATGAGAAGAAACAATAACTGAAAATGTAATTGGGCAAAGGTTACAGTCTTAAGAAGGGGAAACATAGTGGCACACATGCTATGCTTATGACCTGGATTTGATATAAACATCATGGGCACACACTACATGCAGGCGAGGTGTGATGGTGTCGCCTAGCATCTGGATGAGCTATGTGTCCACCATTTAACAAGGGAATGTAGTTTTATCTTTAAAGAAGCTTACAACTTATTGGAGGTGATGGCTTATAAAAAGTAACCAGTTAAGTCCATGGCCTACAGTCCAGCAGCTCCACAACCGAAAACTATTTAGAAGGAAAAAGGAGGCTATAGCCTTGTTGCCTAATAGTCTTAACACAACTCCTTGGTCATGGCTCAAATGTCACAACCGCCGATGTAATGTTTGACACTTTTGTCTCTAAATAAATATACAAAATTAATTATAAAATAGGAACTTGTTGTGCAATCAAATCTTATACTTAACTTATATCAGCAAAAGTTAAGCTGGCATGGTAATTAGTAAATTATCTTGCAATGTGCCCTCAGGATTCTAACCACGGGTATTAATTAGTCTTTGTTAGGTTATTACTAAAATAAATACTTAGTTGCTAACTTGCTATAGCTAAAAATTCTAACCATGGGTATTTGTCATGGTTACTTTCACTGTGTGTACCACTTAATAAATCAATTATTGTGATAGCACCAAATCCTGTTCATCTACATAGTTGAACTTTTACAATTTTAGCTATCAGAGATAGTCATTCCAGCCCATTTCAGTTCCTGGGCATGATACAACCAAATATTCATAAATCTAAGAGCTAATGGGCTAATACATGCAGCAAAATATCTTGCTCGTGTAAGTTCAACTGAAGACATGAGCAACTAAATACTAATTAAACTTCAAGCTGACTATGGATAGGGAATTTTAGGTCACCAACTCATCCTATAGAAGATTTGCACCTACCCTAACAAGTCTCCTCCGTTGTCACATATGGCACAAGTAAAATCAAACAGATCATCCTCCTCTTCATCAGATTCAGAATTTCCATCAGATTCAGAATTTCCATCAGAAACCATATCCTCTATCTCCTCATCGGAGGCAATAAATGACTGCTTCATTTCAATATTATCTGACTCAACCTAGTTGAAATGATAATAAGAAAAATGGTTAACTTCATGATCAGTTTCCTGCCAAAAAAATTGAGAAAATTCATAATCCCACACATACCTCGCTTGTTTTCTTCTTAGATCCTTCTTCAATAAATGCTCGCAAAACCTGTGATAACATTCATCATAAGAGATATAAGAATCGCGGCACTCAGGAGTTCTATTTTGTTTATTAGAGCCAGCCAAGAGTTATTACAATCAGTAAAGTTATTTAGAGTTGACAAGGAATACAGCTAGGACTACGTATGAAAATGAAGCAGAAACTGATGGAATTGACCGCTATCACATCTGTGTCCGTACTTTTTTAGCAGAAGCAGAAGCAAATACGGAAGAAGCACAGAAATGAATACAGGCGAGTATGATGCGGACATAGATACAAAGGTGCATGTCTCCTGGAACACAAAACCCCCCATGAACCATGCCAAAGAAAAAAAAACTAAGCATGAAGCAGCAGCTACAACCTATAGCCGAATCAACAACCTGGCCATAGTATGTTGGGCCAAATCTCTATGAGCTATCGAAGTGGGCTACACATACAGAAATTTCTGCATTTACGGTTACCAAAATTTTAGTTCCGAGTCCTGCCGAAAAACACTGCTCCGTACCACAAATAATCCATTTCTGTTCCAGATTTGCACTCTGTTCCCCTTTTTTCCCAGAACGGACAGAAAGATCACTACCATTCACTCATACCACTCCATTCACATATCTATGACCCAACTGGTATGCTTAATTGCTAATCAAAATAAAACAAAACTGGTTTTTACATAAAGGAATTCCTGAGGCAATATAACAAATTGAAAGGAAACAGGTGGCTAAACAGGCTCATGAGTTCAAAAAGAGAACTACTCCCTCCGTTCCTAAATATTACTCCCTCCGTCCTATAATGTAAGACGTTTTTTGACTCTATTGTAGTGTCAAAAAACGTCTTACATTATGGGACGGAGGGAGTAGATGTTTTAGCTTTTCTCCATTTTCTCAGATTTGTATGCATCTACAAGCATTTTAGTGTGTATATTCACTCATTAATCCGTATGTAGTCCATATTGCAATATCTAAAACATCTTATAATTAGAAACGGAGGGAGTAGTAATGATCAAGAAGACTGAAGCATTCAACTCAAAAAGAAAAATGAACAGAGCCTTTATTTCAAATTGGAGAAGTATTGCAACATAAGGCAGCTCAAACACCAAAAGGCTAATCTGTAGTGAAGCCCTCAGATTTGATGGATTTAAACCTATGGACATTTATGGTCTATAGTGGACAATCTTATTCTTATCAGTTATCAAGCACAGTTGTACTCTCCGTTTTTATTTACTCTGCATATTTGAGTTGACTGAAGTCAAATTTCACAAAATTTGACCAAGGTTATAGAAAACAATATAAACATTTACCATAACAAATTTATATGATGTGAAAGTACATTCAATAATAAATCTAATGGTATTCATTTATTATTGTATATGTTAATATTTTTGTTTATAAACTTTGTCAAAGTTTACAAAGCTTGACTTTGACCAAAGCTAATACGCGGACTAAACAAAAACGGAGGGAGCACAGATGAGGGAGCAGAAAATCTGTACCTGTGATTTTGCTAAGTTCAGATCTTTCTCCGCAAACAGCTTCAATAGGGAACGGTGGTTCCTGAAATCGTCCTTGGAGGGTCTAAGGTCAAACTTGCTGAAAATATGGCAAGGGCTCTGTAAATATCAGAGTTTATCATTTGAGAACAAAGAGCAGAGAGTGCACGGGTGGATTACTCAAAAACTTTGCGAAGATGACTCCACAAGTTCTTCTCGGGCTCCTCAGGTTTTCTTCCGAGGAAGTGAAGCATCCGCACTGTGATGAAAATTGTTCGGAACTTTTCTTCGTAGCTGTTCCTGGGCTTGGCGAGATTTATCCAGCTGCCTTCCACAGACAGCACGGTGATCACGGGTTGTTTGCCTTCAAGCCCCAGCTTCCAGGCAACCACATGCTTGTAAACTGTGATGCCAGGGTCAGCGACTCCCTGCAAGAAGATGTTCCGTTTGCATTGAGTGGCCTCATCCGTGCTTTGCTCGAACCGAATCGGCAAGGCTGACAGACAGATGGGGTTCTTCTCCGTGTCGACGAAGAAGTAATCTGCCACCACACTGAACTGCGGCTCGGAGTCATCGTCGTCGTCGGACATCATCACCATGGCTACCGGAAAGGGGAGAGAATCCGGGGGAGAAAAGGTCAGTACGGTTGCAACGCCGCTACCTCTCTCGGGCTAAGATTCTGCGAGTGAGCGAGTTAGTGGCGACCGAACCTGCAGCCGCCGCGACGGGGGCCAGGAGAACGGCCCGCCCCGCCTCCGCGCGCGCCTCGCCGGTAGCCGCCGGACGCTAGGGCCTAGGGCTTTTCGTCCCTCTTGCTCCTCGCGCGTGCAAGAGGTCGCCGCCGACCGCTAGGGCATAAGGGTTTTCTCTCCCCCTTCCCCTCGTCAGGTGCGCTACTCTGTTGGTGGTTCTTTGTGCGTGCGCGAGGCCGGTGAGTGGTGAGGGGGCGATACCTCTTCTGGTACCTCCCTGGTTCTGGAAGCTCGGCCTCGTGGGCTTCGGTTGCCGGCAAGGCCCACTGCAAATCCTAGGGTTCAACCCTGAACAAGCTAACAAGAAAAGAAAAGTGCCCAGATTCAGAAAAAAAAAAGGTGCCCCGTGCCCTAAAAAAGAGGGGGCACCTATACCGACATTAACTAATTGAGGAGCCCTCGTTTCGGGAGCCTCCCCAGGGGTCATTTGAGATGGGCTGAAAGTGTGTCGGCCACGTGTCAGACTCTACACGCTTCCTTCGAATTTTAATTTTATTTTTCGCACGTGTTTTCAGCTTTTTAGATAGTTTTTTTTTTGGTTTCTGTTTTCCACTAGTCTTTCTTAGCTTTTCGGCAAAAAAAATTTGTGCAGAAAAAGGTGTTTTCTATTTATTTTTCCTTTCGCAAGAGGCACGGTCGTACCTCTCAAAAACGGAAAAAACGCATTTTCTTTTTTTTCCTTCCGTGAAAGGCATGGTCGTGCCTCTTGGAAATGGAAAAAACATGTTTTCTTTTTTTCCTTCCGCGAGAGGCACGGATTTGCTTCACGTGAGAGGCATAGTCGTGCCTCTTGAAAACGGAAAAAAAACGTGTTTTTTTCTTCCGCGAGTGTTATGTTATGATCCGAATTCAAGTATAAAGATAAAGGCTAACTTCTGAAGAGCGAGCGGAGCGAGGCCGTCACTGGTATGCTTGGGCCAAAGCGATCACTATTGACCTAGGTCAGCTGTGTTGTACATATTCGTTGTAAGTTGTCGCACGAGATGAGTTGATCAGTTGTAAATCCCCGGCGCTTATAACCTCCCCCGATATAGTGAAGATTTGTTGGCTGGCGCCCCCTGGTTTTTTCCCTTCGTGTTAGAGGGGTTTTCGACGTTAAATGTCGTGTCTCCTGCTTATTTTTGTTCTTCATCGTGTTGCTTTGCCCGTCTTATCTCTAACAAGTGGCATCAGAGCCTTGTTTCTGTCTAGGGTTTCGACGACACGGCATCGATGAAGTTCGATCTTCCGCTGCTGGACTACGACATGAGGTTTTCCTTGTGGCAAGTGAAGATGCGAGCAGTGTTGGCGCATCCCGATCTGGACTAGGCGCTAGATGGCTTCGGTGGAAAAGAACTGAAGGCATGGACCGATGATGAGAAGTGCATAGATTGTAAGACTATGTCTTTGATTCATCTTCATCTATCTAACAATTTTTTGCAAGAAGTGTTGGAGGAGAAAGCTGCAGCAGCCCTTTGGCTCGAACTGGAGTCGATCTGCATGTCAAAGGATCTGACCAGTAAGATACACATGAAGATGAAGTTGTTCACGCATAAGTTGCAAGAAGGTTGTTCGATGCTGAACCACTTATCGATATGTGAGGAGATCGATTCTGACTTGCTAATGTAGGATGGAACCCTAGAGGGAGATATTTTCACACTTGGAGGGGGAAAGAGAGCAAATAAGAGAAGAACACAAGATGAACACTCAAGTAGACATGATCCAATCACACTAAATCCACATACACAAAGAGGAGATATAAGGATCCAAATCCAGCACAAGTAAGTGACAAAAGGGTAGCTAGTTCATCCCAATCCTTGAAGGAGAGAGGTCTTGAATCCTAGATGGATCTTTCCACAAGGGGGTCTTGAAACCACTAGGGAATCTTCTCACATGGAGGTCTGATACGTCTCCGCCGTATCTATAATTTTTAATTGTTTCATGCCAATATTATTCAACTTTTACATACTTTTGGCAACTTTTTATATGACTTATTTGGACTAACTTATCGAGTGCCTGGTGTCAGTTCCTATTTGTTGCATGTTTTTGTTTCGCAGAAAATCCATATCAAACGAAATCCAAATGCAATAAAAAACTATGAAGAATTACTTTGGAATATTTTTGAAATTTAAGAGGTGGAATCAACGTAAACGGAGGCCCGAGGCCACCACAACCCACCAGGGCGCGCCATCAGGCCCATGCACGCCCTGGTGTATCGTGCCCTCCTCGAACGTTGGTTGGAGCTATACTTCGGGCGTAAGGAAGCTTATATCCGGAAAAAAACGTGTAGAAATTTCAGCGCAATCGGAGTTTCGGATCTCCGGGAATTTAAGACATCGTGAAGGGCTAGATCTGGGGAACGCGAAACAGAAGAGAACAGAGAGGGAGATCCAATCTCGGAGGGGCTCCCGCCCCTCCGCCTCCATGGAGGCCATGGACCAGAGGGGGAACCCTCCTCCCATCTAGGGGGAGGCCAAGGAATAAGAAGAAGGAGGAGGGGGCTCTGTCCCCCTCTCCCCTGGTGGCGCCGGAGTGCCGCCGGAGTGCCGCCGGGACAAGGATCGTGACGACGATCTACATCAACAATCTTGCTACCGTCAACACCAATTCTCTCCCCCTCTATGCAGCAGTGTAACACCCCTTCTCCCTACTGTAATCTCTACTTAAACATGGTTCTCAACTCCATATATTATTTCCCAATGATCTATGGTTATCCTATGATGTTTGAGTAGATCTATTTTGTCCTATGGGTTAATCGTGATCTTGGTTGCTATGATTGTATATTTTATTTATGGTGCTGTCCTACGGTGCCCTCCGTTCTCACGCAAATGTGAGTGGGCCCCACTGTAGGATGTTGTAATATGTTCATGGTTTGCTTATTGTCAGTGTTGCGGGGGTGACAGCAGCCTAAATGCGGATAAGTGGGTCATGGCGTATGGGAGTAAAGAGGACTTGATACTTAATGATATGGTTGGGTTTCACGACCTTAATGATCTCTAGCAGTTGCGGATGCTTGATAGAGTTCCAATCATAAGTGCACATGACCCAAGTAGAGAAAGTATGTTAGCTCATGCCTCTCACTCATATAAAATTGCAAGAATGATTACCGGTACTTGTTATCGATTGCCTAGGGACAAATGACTTTCTCGTTGACAAAAGCTATCCACCTTTACTACCTTGCATTTTATTCGTAGTTTATTCTCTCAAAGTACTCATATTTTTATTCTTGCAAAATAGTTTCATACTTGTTCTAGGTAAAGCAAACGTTAAGTGTGCACAGAGTTATATCGGTGGTCGATAGAACTTGCGGGAATATTTGTTCTACCTTTAGCTCCTCGTTGGGTTCGACATTCTTACTTATCAAAGAAGGCTACTAGGGCTAAGATTCTGTGAGTGAGCGAGTTAGTGGCGACCGAACCTGCAGCCGCCGCGACGGGGGCCAAGAGAACGGCCCGCCCCGCCTCCGCGCGCGCCTCGCCGGTAGCCGCCGGACGCTAGGGCCTAGGGCTTTTCGTCCCTCTTGCTCCTCGCGCGTGCAAGAGGTCGCCGCCGACCGCTAGGGCATAGGGTTTTCTCTCCCCCTTCCCCTCGTCAGGTGCGCTACTCTGTTGGTGGTTCTTTGTGCGTGCGCGAGGCCGGTGAGTGGTGAGGGGGCGATACCTCTTCTGGTACCTCCCTGGTTCTGGAAGCTCGGCCTCGTGGGCTTCGGTTGTCGGCAAGGCCCACTGCAAATCCTAGGGTTCAACCCTGAACAAGCTAACAAGAAAAGAAAAGTGCCCAGATTCAGAAAAAAAGGTGCCCCGTGCCCTAAAAAAGAGGGGGCACCTATACCGACATTAACTGATTGAGGAGCGTTCGTTTCAGGAGGCTCCCCAGGGGTCATTTGAGATGGGCTGAAAGCGCGTCGGCCACGTGTCAGACTCTACACGCTTCCTTTGAATTTTAATTTTATTTTTTGCATGTGTTTTCAGCTTTTTAGATAGTTTTTTTTTGGAGTTTCTGTTTTCCACTAGTCTTTCTTAGCTTTTCGGCAAAAAATTTGTGCAGAAAAAGGTGTTTTCTATTTATTTTTCCTTTCGCAAGAGGCACGGTCGTACCTCTCAAAAATGGAAAAAACGCATTTTCTTTTTTTTTCCTTCCGTGAAAGGCATGGTCGTGCCTCTCGGAAATGGAAAAAACATGTTTTCTTTTTTTCCTTCCGCGAGAGGCACGGATTTGCTTCACGTGAGAGGCATAGTCGTGCCTCTTGAAAACGAAAAAAACGTGTTTTTTTCTTCCGCGAGTGTTATGTTATGATCCGAATTCAAGTATAAAGATAAAGGCTAACTTCTGAAGAGCGAGCGGAGCGAGGCCGTCACTGGTGTGCTTGGGCCAAAGCGATCAGTATTGACCTAGGTCACCTGTGTTGTACATATTCGTTGTAAGTCGTCGCACAAGATGAGTTGATCAGTTGTAAATCCCCGGCGCTTGTGACCTCCCCCGATATAGTGAAGATTTGTTGGCTGGCGCCCCCTGGTTTTTTCCCTTCGTGTTAGAGGGGTTTTCGACGTTAAATGTCGTGTCTCCTGCTTGTTTTTGTTCTTCATCATGTTGCTTTGCCCGTCTTATCTCTAACAAGTGGCATCAGAGCCTTGTTTCTGTCTAGGGTTTCGACGGCACGACATCGATGAAGTTCGATCTTCCGCTGCTGGTCTACGACATGAGGTTTTCCTTGTGGCAAGTGAAGATGCGAGCAGTGTTGGCGCATCCCGATCTGGACTAGGCGCTAGATGGCTTCGGTGGAAAAGAACTGAAGGCATGGACCGATGATGAGAAGTGCATAGATTGTAAGGCTTTGTCTTTGATTCATCTTCATCTATCTAACAAAT